CCCCAAAACCCCAAAACCCCAAAACCCCATGTTTTTAAGAAAATGTTGAGAAAGGCTCATAATCTATGCTATCGATATTCTTAAGGCTTTACTGCCTCACTTGATGTAAGGTGCTCAAAAGAGGCAAGATAGTAGTTTTGCAACTTGCATTTGGGGAGAAATTTTATAATACGTTCCATTGGCTTAATATCTTTTGAGAAATTTGCTTCTGTAAACAAGACCATTAGAGATCTTTCTTATATTGGTCACTCGTAGCTTATGTGGTTTGTACAATTCTTGCACTGAGCTACTTCTCTTTTGTCTACTAGCCAAACCTGATTTGTATGGGTTTCTACAGTATCCGGGGATGATCCCTGGTTTCTTTAAGGACCGATTCAAGCTGTTGAAAGCTATATTAGTGAGACATATAGAAGTAAACTCGCTTACAATCTCTAGAAGCTCTGGAAATACTTCTTTGCTTGATATGTTCATAGTATGTCGTAGGATAATTTCTTGATCTAGTAAGATTATTTAAAGCTGCTTACCTTCCTAGCCTAGAAGTTGAAGCTCCAGTGGTGTTATTTGAGAAGCGGTTGTGTCCCTCTCTAAGAGTATTCCTTGTACGTCTATCAGCGGTATTCAGCCCCGAGCCATTGTTAAAGTTAAAAACATACATTCCCTTCTGAATTTGGCTATTTCATTATTGATAAAATTGTTTACATTGGAATCTCATTTAGGCCGTTATTTCTTGTAATTCTTCTTGGGTTCATGTTTAAATTTTTGTTTTCTAAAGTGGTTAAGCCAGCCAACCAGGAAGATTGGAAGAGGAAATTCTTGACAAATATTACTGTTAAGAGTCCACTTACCTTTTGTAGCTTGTCTATCGTCTTCAAGGCCATAAACTTCCTCTTTAGTTTCCTCCCTGCGATTTCAAAGTCCAATATCATTTTCTTTTGGTTTGAAAGCTCTTTCAGTGATGAAATTCCCAGCAGACATTGTTCTTGAAAGATGCTTACTTGCCAGAGAAGATCTATTAGACATTTTATTTAGAAATAGAGTCATTTCCAAAGTCTTCATGATTTAAGTTGGTCTGGCTGAAGTTATTGACAAGTTTTGGAGCTAAATGCTTGCCAACCATGAATCTAGAAGGAGCTTCAATCTCTTCTCTTGGTTGTTCATTGCTTTGCTGCGCATTGTTAAGCCTATAGGGGTATAAGATGGAGTTATACTCTTCAATGGTCTTATTTCTGTTTAAACACATTGACTTTGTGGACTCCTATGTTGATGACTACTTCCATTTCAAGACCAATATGCTTTCATGACCTACAAATTTCTTAAGAGGACCAAGCTTACCTTTCTAAGGTAATAAGAGATGACAGGGATGATTTTGAAGCCTAAATTGCTAACCAGAGAGCCATACCATGCTCGAAGCTAGGTTGTTTGATGAAGTCTCGGAGATAAATCATTGGTTGGTCAGGTTAAGCCCATCACTTGCTTGTCGAAATCCTTCTGACATAGTTTTTAATTATTAACTTCATTGTTATGGGCTCTTAATGGGGTTTTGGGGTTTTGGGGTTTTGGGGTTTTGGGG